TGTGCTGGTGGTCAGCGGATTGCCCCCTTGTGCTGGTGGTCAGTGGATCTTTGCCCCCTTGTACTGGTGGTCAGTGGATCTTTGTCCCCTTGTGCTGGTGGTCAGTGGAACCTTGCCCCCTTGTCCTGGTGGTCAGTGGAACTTTTCCCCCTTGTGCTGGTGGTCAGTGGAACTTTTCCGCTTGTGCTGGTGGTCAGTGGAACTTTTTCACTTGTGCTGGTGGTCAGTGGAACTTTGCCCCCTTGTGCTGGTGGTCAGTGGAAGCTCTGTTATTGTGTTTTTTTTAAGACAAAAGATATTAATGCATGGGTTGTTTTTTCTAAACTAAAACCTCAGTATTCAGGTTTAATTGCAGTGTTGGCACTTAGTGATAAATAAGTGGGATTTGGGTTGCAGTTTGGGCACTTGGTCTCTAAAAGGTTTGCCATCACTGAACTAGAGCCTCATGGAGTAGGCAGGGTTATATGGGTTTAAGACAGAATATTGAACTGGCATTTGATTTTTAATCTACAGGCTTTTGTATTGGTTGGAATGCCTTTCCTTTAAATACCACAAGATGACACTGCTGCTCTTAAAATAATGATATGACCTATAGGGAAGGCTAGGAAATGAAATCACATAGACAGTGTTCTGCAGATATTTATTTCAGGTACTTATAAAGCACTGTCAATTTATGCAGTGCTTTTCATATATATTGTACATTCATATCAGTCCCTAACCCTCAAGGGGCAAACAATTGAAAGTCCCTAACTCACATTCATTCATACACATACTAGGGCCAATTTAGACAGGAGCCAATTAACCTACCAGCATGTCTTTGGAGTGTGGGAGGAAACAGGAGTACCCAAAGGAAACCCATGCAGGCACAGGGAGAACATGCAAACTCCAGGCAGGTGGTGCCATGGTTGGGATTTGAACCGATGACCACTAGTACTGCCAGGCTGAAGTGCTAACCATTTAGCCACTGTGCTGCCCCATGAGTGTTGATAGCATTAGAAAACTTTCTTGTAGTGTGGTGCTAATACTTACAACATAAAACTCCATCAATAAATGTGTCCAGTAAATTAACAGCTTGGCGTGATCCACATCTTATGGTTTTACTTAAAACATAGAAAGTGATGTAGATTCCTACAGCCACATACTGTACAGTCTCTGCATGCTGTGTTAAATCTTTCAACCACTAAAGTAATACAGTATATACACTCACCGGCCACTTTATTAGGTACACCTGTTCAATTGCTTGGTAACACAAATTGCTAATCAGCCAACAACATGGCAGCAACTGAATGCATTTAGGCATCTAGACGTGGTGAAGACGACTTGCTGAAGTTCAAACCGAGCAAAATAATGTGGAAGAAAGGGGATTTAAGTGACTTTAAACTGAGTAGAAATATAAGGGGTCTAATAATGAATGTTCTTATATACACATATATAAATATGCATACAGTCATTTTTAAGCGTTTTTATTACATTGCCCTTTTCTTCTACTCCAGAAATGTGGTTTGAAGTGTGTGCCTGTGACGTAAGCACCCAGCCGGCTAGAAAATGCCAACTTCCTCTTTCAAGTTTAAGAAAAGCATCTTATGGTCAAATCAGTTTGAAGCAGCAACTGTCATGATGGATGTTATTTTGGACTGGTCATGTAATGTTAACCCCCACTTAACTTTGAGTTTGCTGTTAAGCACATGAGGATTTGATTGGATTAAAACTATATGAACACGCCTCGACCTTATACGATCACGCCTGGATCTTATGTTTATACAGTCAGGTCCATAAATATTGGGACATCGACACAATTCTAACATTTGTGGCTCTATACACCACCACAATGGATTTGAAATGAAACAAACAAGATGTGCTTTAACTGCAGACTGTCAGTTTTAATTTGAGGGTATTTACATCCAAATCAGGTGAACGGTGTAGGAATTACAACAGTTTGCATTTGTGCCTCCCACTTGTTAAGGGACCAAAAGTAATGGGACAGAATAATAATCATAAATCAAACTTTCACTTTTTAATACTTGGCTGCAAATCCTTTGCAGTCAATTACAGCCTGAAGTCTGGAACGCATAGACATCACCAGACGCTGGGTTTCATCCCTGGTGATGCTCTGCCAGGCCTCTACTGCAGCTGTCTTCAGTTCCTCCTTGTTCTTGGGGCATTTTCCCTTCAGTTTTGTCTTCAGCAAGTGAAATGCATGCTCAATCGGATTCAGGTCAGGTGATTGACTTGGCCATTGCATAACATTCCATTTCTTTCCCTTAAAAAACTCTTTGGTTGCTTTTGCAGTATGCTTTGGGTCATTGTCCATCTGCACTGTGAAGCGGCGTCCAATGAGTTCTGAAGCATGTGGCTGAATATGAGCAGATAATATTGCCCGAAACTCTTCAGAATTCATCCTGCTGCTTTTCTCAGCAGTCACATCATCAATAAATACAAGAGAACCAGTTCCATTGGCAGCCATACATGCCCACGCCATGACACTACCACCACCATGCTTCACTGATGAGGTGGTATGCTTAGGATCATGAGCAGTTCCTTTCCTTCTCCATACTCTTCTCTTCCCATCACTCTGGTACAAGTTGATCTTGGTCTCATCTGTCCATAGGATGTTGTTGCAGAACTGTGAAGGCTTTTTTAGATGTCGTTTGGCAAACTCTAATCTGGCCTTCCTGTTTTTGAGGTTCACCAATGGTTTACATCTTGTGGTGAACCCTCTGTATTCACTCTGGTGAAGTCTTCTCTTGATTGTTGACATTGACACACATACACTTACCTCCTGGAGAGTGTTCTTGATCTGGCCAACTGTTGTGAAGGGTGTTTTCTTCACAAGGGAAAGAATTCTTCGGTCATCCACCACAGTTGTTTTCCGTTGTCTTCCGGGTCTTTTGGTGTTGCTGAGCTCCCCGCTGCGTTCTTTCTTTTTAAGAATGTTCCAAACAGTTGTTTTGGCCACGCCTAATGTTTTTGCTATCTCTCTGATGGGTTTGTTTTGTTTTTTCAGCCTAATGATGGCTTGCTTCACTGATAGTGACAGCTCTTTGGATCTCATCTTGAGAGTTGACAGCAACAGATTCCAAATGCAAATAGCACACTTGAAATGAACTCTGGACCTTTTATCTGCTCATTGTAATTGGGATAATGAGGGAATAACACACACCTGGCCATGGAACAGCTGAGAAGCCAATTGTCCCATTACTTTTGGTCCCTTAATAAGTGGGAGGCACATATGCAAACTGTTGTAATTCCTACACCGTTCACCTGATTTGGATGTAAATACCCTCAAATTAAAGCTGACAGTCTGCAGTTAAAGCACATCTTGTTCGTTTCATTTCAAATCCATTGTGGTGGTGTATAGAGCCACAAATGTTAGAATTGTGTTGATGTCCCAATATTTATGGACCTGACTGTATATTGTGACAGTATGAAAGGTGAGGTGATCGATGGACGCTATGACCCTGATTTACTAATGTGCATACGAGCATTTCCGTGGGTTAACGTCTACTTTTTAATAGCGACCGTCTACTTTAAGACGGCAAAGACATTTACTAAAGAAAGACTCAACAAGTAGACGCGAAATCGAATTTACTAACCAGGCACAATCCAGGAATCAGTCTCAAAAAGCAGACTTGCTAAGAACCACCTCTAACACCACGAAAAATCACTGCAGAGACATGTTCACATGGTCACATGCTCTGGGTAACACAGTGGCTAAATGGTTAGCACTTCCACCTGACAGTATTAGGGGCGTTGGTTCAAATCCCAGCCACAGCACCACCTGCCTGGAATTTGCATGTTCTCCCTGTGCCTCTTGGATTTCCTCCAGGTACTCCAGTTTCCTTCCACAAGCCAAAGACATGCTGGTAGGTTAATTGGCTCCTATCTAAATTGACCCTAGTATGTGTATGTATGAATGTAAGTTAGGGACCTTAGATTGTATACCCCTTGAGGATTAGGGACTGATGTGAATGTACAATATATATGTAAAGTGCTGTGTAAATTGACAGCGCTATATAAGTACCTGAAATAAATAAATGTTCACATTGAAATTTGCTTTCCCAAATATCAGGACTTAACTTTAAACAATATCTTACATTTCAAAAAAATTTAAAAATGTGTAAAAATTAGTTTTTTATGGGAAGTCATGACAGTGAAGAACTAGATGCTTTTCCAGCGTCTATGCACGGATATAAATGCGCATGTGCAGAACACATTTTAGCTGTCTGCCATGGGAGCTTTATTTTTAGACGCTGTTTAATAGTAAATCTCAGTGTGGAGTCCACTGACAGATGGCACTCGATTGCGTCTACTGTGTGTGACAACCAGCACTATTTGTAGCTAGGCATATCTTTATGTATTCTAATTTGATTTCCTTAGTTCTATTGATTCTGTTTTTGTTTCTTATCCTTTATAATTATTTCTGTAATGATTTTACATATTTTGAAGGTCTAGATAATATATATTTTGGCAGCTGAATCTAAAAATAAAGGTTCACAATTAAAATTAAAAAAAAAAAAAACACGGCGTGGGGTCCCCCCTCCCCTCCATACCAAGCTCTTCGGGTCTGGTATGGTTATTAAGGGGTAACTCCACACCAAAAAAAAAAAAACCGGTGTGGGTCCCCCTCAAAATCCATACCAGACCCTTATCTGAGCATGCAGCCCAGCAGGTCAGAAAATGGGGGGCACGAGCAAGCGCCCCCCCCCTCCTGAACCATACCAGGCCACATGCCCTCAACATTGGGGGTTCTTTGGGGCAAGGGGGCCCCCCCCAAAAGCACCTTGTCCTGGTCAGCGATCGCGGCGACAAGCGCGGGTCTGCACATGTGCGGAGTGCCGATCCACGCTAGCCGGCGGGTACTAGGACCTGCAATCGCAGTCACTTGCCTGGCACCAATGGCAGGGCGCACTATTTAAACCTGCCCTGCACAGACTCCCATTTCTGTATGGTCTGATTGTTCCTGTGTTACTGTATTCCTGCCATGGTGATTCGTTACTGACTCTGCCTGATCCTGACCTCAGCTGACTTCTCCTGCTCTGACCCTCTGGCTTGTTTGACCTCTCTTCTGGACATCCCTTATTTGATCTGAACTCCTGTTACCGACCCCGGCGAGTGACCTGACTACTCTTCTGCCTGCTGCCTGGTACTACGCTGACCCCACTGTTACCGACCCGGCCCGTTTGACCATGCTTACCACCACTCATCCATCCATCCATCCTGCACAGATCTAGCCATCCCTGCTTCTGCCTTCTGCCTCTTCACATTAGGCTCCCCACCTACATAGACCTCTGGAAGGTTCCTCTACCTCAGGCAGGTGTACTCAGGGGCCACGATCTGGTTCCTGTCTGCTCCAAGTCCATCCCCACCATCAGGGGCCCTGGTGAACAAGCAGACTGGGGCTTAGACTCCGCGCTCTGAGGAATCCTGTCCCGTGGACTGCTAGAGGTACCGCCAGGCGGTTGTAACAGAACCATACGGCCATGACAGAGCCTGGAAGAGGACCATTCCCACTGGAGGACATATGTCAGCACCTGGCGGCTCTGACCCAAGCCATTAAAACGCTGCAGGAAGGATACACGCATCTCGAGAACCGCATCCAGATGCTACCCGCACGGCCGTTATATCTCAGAATCCGGCTACTCCTGCTCCGGCCGGAGAATCTTTGGAGCCACCTACCGGAGCAGTAGCCGCGTTGCCTCCTCCGGAACCCCACGTTCCATTGCCAGAACATTTCAGCGGAGATCGAGCAAAATTCAGGGCCTTCCGGAATGCGGGCCTGCTTTATTTCATGTGTGTGTGTGTAACCACCTAAAAATTCCTCAAAAAGTCACACTTTCTCCCCAGAAAGTAATATAATATTATAACCTTTTTGTGTTGAAATACATAAACATATTAATATTCAAATCCCATAATAATGCAAACTCAAAAGAAAAACAAAAACAAAAACAAAAAATTATAATAAAATTCAGAAAAAATGTCCCAATAAAAATTGTCCCAAACCAATAATAGTGTCCAAAAAATAGTGTCCAAAAATAATAATAGTGTCCAAAAATAATAATGTCCAAAAATAAATGTCCCAATGTTCAAACTTTATCCTCCAGTAGGAAAAAAATCTCATTGCATACCGTGGTTTGTTTTTTTGAGGTACCACGGTATGCAATGAGATTTTTTTCCTACTGGAGGATAAAGTTTGAACATTGGGACATTTATTTTTGGACATTATTATTTTTGGACACTATTATTATTTTTGGACACTATTTTTTGGACACTATTATTGGTTTGGGACAATTTTTATTGGGACATTTTTTCTGAATTTTATTATAATTTTTGTTTTTGTTTTTGTTTTTCTTTTGAGTCTGCTTTATTTCAGCCTGCAGCCACGAACGTTTTCCACAGAATCAGTTAAGGTGGGATTCATCGTGTCTCTGCTCCAGGACGAACCCCAAAGCTGGGCTCACCAACTAATGGAAACCCACGATTCACACCTAGAGACAGTAACTGACTTCTTTGACGCAATGGCAGTTTTATATGATGACCCGCAGCGGGCAGCCTCCGCAGAAATGGCCCTGTACTCTCTCAGACAAGGCTGCCAGGCAGCGGAGGAGTATGCTTCGGAGTTCAGACGATGGATGGGGGATACCCGGTGGAATGATGCCGCATTACGCCATCAGTTCCGCATGGGGCTGTCCGAAGCTCTTAAGGATGAGTTAGCTCGGGTGGGCCTACCTGATTCCTTGGAGAATCTCATTACCTTGGCCATCCAAATTGACCGCAGACTGCGGGAACGCAGATTGGAGAGGACCAGCCAGGGTCAGAGATTTACATGGGTACCCCCTCGGGTCCCAGTCCAACCTCTGCTAGGGGGGAACCGGAACTTGGAGTCTGGTGATGCCCCCGAGCCCATGCAGCTTGGATTGGCACGGCCATCATTGTCGGCCAAGGAACGCCAGAGAAGACGGGTAAATAATCTCTGTCTTTACTGTGGAGAAGCTGGTCATATGGTGCTCTCCTGCCCAGCGAAACTGAGTAAGTCTGCTTCCATTTTTTCTTCTGTATCCTCTGAAGGCTCTAACCATTCCAATTACTTAGCCATAACCATTTCCTTTCAGCTTCCAGGAAGAACCGTGTCAGCAACAGCAATAATTGATTCCGGGGCATGCAGTTGTTTTGTTGATTTAGATTTTGCCAACCAACAGAAAATCCCCCTCCAGACCAGGGAACATGGGCTTAACATCTTTTTGGCTGACGGGTCACATATCAAGTCGGGGTTGGTAGACCGGGAGACTCCACCTATCTGCACTACAGTAGCTGACCACCATCGGGAGTTCCTCCGCCTGAACGCTATAGCCTCCCCTCTTTTCCCAGTCATTCTGGGGCTCCCTTGGTTGCGGGCCCACAACCCCCAGATTGATTGGGAAACCGGGTCAATTCAGGTCCAAACCCCGTATTGCCAGGAACACTGCTATGCCCCGACCTCCACGGCTCCCCGGTCCCTCCTATGTATGGACGGAGATGCCGACCTAATTCAAGCCATCCCTCCAGCCTACCACAGTTTCCTTGACGTTTTTAGCAGGCGAGGGGCAGACATCCTTCCTCCACACCGAACATATGACTGTCCCATTGACCTCCTACCTGGTTCTGAGATTCCGTTTGTTCGGATATTCCCCCTATCTGAGTGGGAATTGGGGGTCCTGAAAGAATACATTGATGAGAACCACCAAAAGGGGTTCATCCGCCCCTCCACGTCACCAACCGGGGCTGGAATTTTTTTTGTCGAAAAAAAAAGATAAGTCCCTGCAGCCCTGTATCGATTATCGCGATTTGAACAAAATCACGATAAAGAATCGTTACCCACTTCCTTTGGTTCCAGAACTTTTCCAAAGGTTAAAGTCAGCAGTAATATTTACGAAACTAGATTTGAGGGGTGCATATAACTTGGTACGCATAAGGGAGGGGGACGAGTGGAAAACTGCGTTTCGTACTAGATTTGGGCTCTTTTAATATTTAGTCATGCCGTTTATAAACAATGTATTTCGAGACTACCTTGATGTCTTCGTGGTCATTTATTTAGACAACATATTGATTTTCTCTCCCTCCCTTGAAGCTCATAGGGGTCATGTCAAAAATGTGTTGGAACGTCTACGCCAACATGGGTTGTACGCTAAAGCTGACAAGTGCAGCTTCGAGCAGGGCAGTATTTCGTTCCTGGGGCTGATCATCTCCACCACGGGGGTTGCGATGGATCCGCAGGTCTTGGCAATCTTGGATTGGCCAGTACCCGCGGACAAGAAGGGCGTGCAACGCTTCATTGGCTTTCAAATTTCTATAGGAAGTTCATCAGGAACTTCTCGGGTCTGGTGTCTCCCATTACCCAGCTCACCAAACAGGGAGTCTGTTTCAGGTGGACACCCGAGGCTCAAACAGCATTTGAAACCCTGTAGGGACTATTCACCACAGCTCCTATTCTTAGTCACCCAGATTCCTCCCTGCCATATGTCTTGGAAGTCGATGCTTCCGAAAACGCAGTGGCAGCCATTATGTCCCAGAGAAAAGACACCAGGGAGCTCTTGCAGCCAGTGGCGTTCTTCTCAAGGAAACTTACACCAGCGGAAAGGAATTATGATATTGGTGACCGAGAACTTTTGGCCATCAAGACCGGACTGGAGGAATGGAGATACTTGCTAGAAGGGGCCACGCATCCAATTTTGATCTTTACTGATCACAAGAATTTGGGGTACTTAAGGACGGCCAAACGCTTGAGACCACACCAAGTGAGATGGGCACTCTTTTTCTCCCGGTTCGTATTCCATATCACGTATAGGCCTGGGTCCAAGAACACAAAGCCCGACGCCCTCTCGCGCATGTTTGAAGATCCAGAAGAGGTCCCTAAAGCAGACCGAGCTACGCTGTAGGCTACAAAGTGCATCCGTAGGAATGCCAAGCCCACCCGGGGTTTCCCTACAGAGCAAGGAGGGGCTCTTATGGAAGGAAGGGCTAATCGTGGTACCCGAGGAGGTCCAAACCTTAGTCCTGGGATACTGCCATGACCATCCACTGGCAGGCCATTTTGGAATGGCAAAAACTCTAGAATTACTCCCGTGCACATTCTGGTGGCCAAGCATGGCCAAGGATTGCGAGCTTTATGTTAAGACCTGCGCCACCTGTCAGAGGAACAAGCCCACCAGAAGCAAGGCCTGGGATTTACTACGTCCACTGCCTATACCTGATCGGCTGTGGCAAAAGATTTTGGTCGACTTTATAGTCGAGCTTCCTCCATCTCAAGACCATACCGCAATCTTCGTAATTGTGGATTGCCTTTTGAAGATGGCCCACTTCTTACCACTTAAAAAACACGCCCTTGGCTCTGGAAACAGCGGAAATCTTCATAAGAGAAGTAGTAAGACTTCTTGGAGTTCCAGAAGACATTGTTTTAGACCGGGGGGTCCAGTTTACCTTAAAGTTCTGGAAAGCGTTGTGCGAGATGTTGGGAATCAGATTGTACTTCTCATCCGCCTACCACCCACAGACAAATGGGCAGACGGAGAGGACGAACCAGACGTTGGAGCAATACCTGAGATGCTATACGTCCTATCTCCAGGACGATTGGCTGGCACTCTTGCCATTGGCCGAATTTGCGTATTATAATGCAAATCATTCAGCTACGGGGCAATCCCCATTTTTTGCGAACTATGGGTTCCACCCCAAATTTCTGCCCAATCTGATTCCTGAAAGCCCAGTTCCTGCCACTCAGAATACGCTGAATTTTTTTTCTGCCAACAAGGTGTTTCAAGAAGCCATTGCAAAAGCCCAGGAGGACAGCAAAAGGGCCATCGACAGGAAGAGAAGAGGGGAACTAGTCTTGCAACCTGGGGATCAGGTCTGGCTAACAACAACGAATTTGAAGTTGTCTTGCCCGTCGAAAAAACTGGGGCCGAAATTTATGGGTAAAACGGAAGATCAATGAGGTGGCGTATGAGTTGGCATTCCCAGGAACCTTCGAAATTCACCCAGTTTTCCACGTATCGCTCCTGAAGCCAGCAATGCCAGATTCCTTCCCAGACCGAAGGTCCAGACCTCCGGAGGATATAACCATTAATGAACAGGAGGAATTCGAGGTTGAGGCAATCATAGATTGCATGAAAAGAGGTGGCCAGACACAGTTACTGATCAAGTGGAAGGGCTATGGCTCTGAGGAGAATTTGTGGGAGCCAGCCCAAAATGTTCACGCCCCTAGACTGGTCCGGGAATTCTATCGTAACCACCCACAGAGGAGAGATCGGTTGGGCATCTGGAGGATGCCCGTGGGGGGGCAATGTCAGCGATCGTGGGGGGGCAATGTCAGCGATCGTGGCGACAAGCAGGTCTGCGCATGCGCGGAGTGCCGATCCACGCTAGCCAGCGGGTACTAGGACCTGGGCTGCGGCGGCCGTGCATGCGCACTCGCGATTGTGGTCACTCGCCTGGCACCAATGGCAGGGCAGGGCGCACTATTTAAACCTGCCCTGCACAGACTCCCATTGCCGTATGGTCTGATTGTTCCTGTGTTCCTGCCATTATGATTCGTTGCTGACTCTGCCTGATCCTGACCTCTGCTGACTTCTGCTCTGACCCCCTGGCTTGTTTGACCTCTCTTCTGGACATCCCTTATTTGATCTGAACTCCTGTTACCGACCCCGGTGAGTGACCTGACTCCTCTTCTGCCTGCTGCCTGGTACTATGCTGACCCCACTGTTACCGACCCGGCCCATTTGACCACGCTTACTACTCATCCGTCCATCCATCCATCCATCCTGCATGGATCTAGCCATCCCTGCTTCTGCCTTCTGCCTCTTCACATCAGGCTCTCCACCTGCATAGACCTCTGGCGGATTCCTCTGCCTCAGGCAGGTGTACTCAGGGGCCGCGACCTGGTTCCTGTCTGCTCCAAGTCCATCCCCACTATCAGGGGCCCTGGTGAACAAGCAGACTGGAGCTTAGACTCTGCGCTCTGGGGAATCCTGTCCTGTGGACTGCTAGAGGTACCGCCAGGCAGTTGTAACAGTCCCCATGTTGATGGAGACAAGGGCCTCTTCCCCACAACCCTGGCCGGTGGTTGTGGGGGTCTGCGGGCGGGGGGCTTATCAGAATCTGGAAGCCCCATTTAACAAGGGGGCCCCCAGATCCCAACCCCCCTACGTGAATGAGTATGGGGTACATGGTACTAATTCACAAAAAAACCCAAAGTGTAGTGTAAAAAACACAGGACACGGTCTTTGACAAGCCCTTTAATAAAAGAAAAATCTCAAAGAATGTCCCCCGAAGTAGATCCAACGTCAATCACGGTGTAAGGCGCCAGCGACCGGAAAAAAAAAAAAAAAAGGTTCTGCGTCCGACTCTGGCTGCTCAGCTTTCTGCTGTGAGCTTGGGTGACAGATCTTAAATATGTAAGGGGCGGGGCCACCCGGGGACATCACACATGTGATTCCACCCCATGTGACATCATTGATGTCACATGGGGCGGGGTCACTCAGATGATGTCCCTGGGTGGCCCTGCCCCTTACATATTTAAGAGCTGTCACCCAAGCTACTAATTCACAAAAAAACAAAAAGTGTAGTTATAAAAAAACACAGGACACGGTCTTTGACAAGTCCTTTAATAAAAGAAAAATCTCAAAGGATGTCCCCCAAAGTATATCCAACGTCAATCACGGTGCAAGGCTCCGGCGACCCGAAAAAAAGAAAAAAAAAAAAGGTTCCTCTCCTGAGGATGGCTGCCCAGCCTTCTGCTGTGAGATTGGGTGACAGCTCTTAAATATGTAAGGGGCGGGGCCACCCGGGACATCATCCTAGTGACTTCGCCCCATGTGACATCATTGATGTCACATGGGGTGGGGTCACATGCGTGATGTCCCCAGGTGGCCCCGCCCCTTACATTTTTAAGAGCTGTCACCCAAGCTCACAGCAGAAGGCTGGGCAGCAATCATCAGAAGCGGAACCTTTTTTTTTTTCTTTTTTTGGGTCGCCGGCAGCGGGCTTCATGATTGGCCTTGGAGCTACTTCGGGGGACATTCTTTGAGATTTTTCTTTTATTAAAGGACTTGTCAAAGACCGTGCCCTGTTTTTTTACTCTACACTTTTTTTGTGAATTAGTAGCGGTACCATGTACCCCATACTAATTCACGTAGGGGGGTGGGATCTGGGGGTCCCCTTGTTGAAGGGAGCTTCCAGATTCTGATAAGCCCCCCGCCCGCAGACCCCCACAACCACCGGCCAGGGTTGTGGGGAAGATGCCCTTGTCCCCATCAACATAGGGACAAGGTGCTTTGGGGGGGAGCCCTCTTGCCCCCAAGCACCCTCCCATGTTGAGAGCATGTGGCCTGATATGGTTCAGGAGGGGGGGTGCTCGCTCGTCCACCCCCCCTTTCCTGACCTGCCGGGCTGCATGCTCAGATAAGGGTCTGGTATGGAGTTTGGGGGGAACCCCACTGCATTTTTTTTTTAATTTTGGTGTGGAATTACCCCAAATACCCATACCAGGGCTTGGTGTGGATGGGAGGGGGGACCCCACCATTTTTTTTATTATGGTGCCGGTTTTTAAATGTAATTCTCGCTTTTTTTTTCTTCACTATAGCTCAGAAATTCAGCTGTCACTTCCCCCAGCTAAAAGAGAAAGTTTTCTTTGAGTTTATATCCCTAAAGGAAACAATGTTTACTTTTAGTTTATTAAAAGATACAAAGTTTTCTGTAACTTCGGGGAAAGTGATAGATAAGCTTGTGAACTATAGTTGCACCACAAGACCATGGTATCTACCAGTGAATAGATCGTGTTCAATGTTCAGCCATTCTTTTTTTCTACAATCCTCTTAACAGTAATAAATTAGGCCCATAATTTATGTTGACTTTGGGCCTTTACTGGCAAACATATATTCACCAATGTCATTTACACAGTAGAGCTGCAAACATATATTCGCCAATGTCATATACACAATAGAGCTGCAAACATACATTCACCAATGTCATATACACAGTAGAGCTGCAAACCTACATTCACCAATGTCATATACACAGTAGAGCTGCAAACATATATTCACCAATGTCATATACACAGTTGAGCTGCAAACATACATTCACCAATGCCAAATCCACAATAGAACTGCAAACATATCTTTGCGAATGTCATATACACAATGGAGCTGCATGGAAAATTGCTATGGTGCACAAGTAAACGCCAAGATGGCTGTTGGAGGAGGCGTTAGAGCAGCTGTCATACCGGAAATACGTCATCACGTTTGCGGAAGGACGTTCGCACACACCCGGAAATGGTAGTGGGGAGTGTTAGTGGATGGGAGTGTAGTTAGGAGAGTTTAGTGGTAATTTGCAAGTCTATTTTTTAGCTTTGTGAATTGTTCTTTTGTAGAATTCCAGATCACATCTGGACATGGTGAGATCGCTGTTCACCAAGGAACTGATCCTCATTTGCAGGGGAAACATTAGTAATAATTGTTGTATTTTCAGTTGAAAACATGTCCAGTTGCTAGATCCATTGAGGTACATAGCAGAGGTTCAAGGTATTCTATAGAAGAAGTTATTGTTCTTCCTAACTATACAGGTGGCACAGACACAAGCATACACCCAGGGCCACTGTTAGATATTATGGGGCCCCATACAGCATACCTGACAGCCAGAGAAAATATCCAAATTATATTTATGGTAAAAATACACTAAAAAGATTATTAATGGACACAATCCCAACCATATTCCTGTGAAATCTAAATGATAAAACTGTACTGAGTTCATAAATAAAGCTGTGTGCGTAATTGAGGTCTTGGGGCTCATTCACATGGGTGCTGTGGCCTGTAGAGTGTGAATCAGTGGTTTGTTTTTATGGCTGTCGCTGTTTGCAGGCAACCTATGTTACACTATGGAAATGCTGCAGGTCCTAATTTGCCAAGCATATGGGTGCAGGTGTACAGCCCTGAACACAGACAGTGAGCATTCAGGGCCACTTCCCCATGCCTTCACTACTGTCAGATGGGAACCTGTGTTCATAGTCACTCCAGCCACATGAACAACCCACTCATTCATACTGTAGAATAGTTACATTGTTTATAAATAATGATAAAGCGAAGCGCTGATAAAATTATATAGACTACTAAATTGGTATTACACAAGATAAATATAAATATAGGTATAGATATGAAGGTAGCAGCTAGCACTCAGGGTATTGGCAACAGTCCCAAAATAGAAATATGTTAAAGTAATAGTGCAGCGCTATAAATGCATGTTATCAATCATAAACGCATGTAAAGTCAAAAAAGTGCAAATAAGTGCAATAATGATGTAAACTGGTAAATGGTGCTAAAAAAGTTCATATAATCATTCCTGAAAAATGGAATGTCCTTTGTGTGAAAGTACCAACTCAGTGCCTATGAATGGCCCGTGTGGTGTATTCGTGACGAACAGTAGTGCATGAACTCGTGAAAGGTAATCCACCCTTGGGACGGGTGTATACTCACCAGATTAATGCGCATGGGTTATACACATCACACATCACACATCTGGGGGTGCAGCGGTATGGTGGCAGCTATGGGTTAGTCTTCCAGCTCCATCCATCCATCCATCAGGGTGGATGCCAAAATGGTCCTGGGGAGGAATTAGCTCAGCCACAGGAGCCAGAAAGGTGCTTAATAGTTAATACTTTATTATAATGGTCACGAGTAACAATTTAAAATATCCACGTGGAGTAATAAAAATAATAGCAAAATGAGTACCAAGATGGCCACCGCTTCTCAATGGTGGCTGCGTGGCGGCAGCAATCAGGCTCCACTCAATGCTTTTCGTGTACCAACACGTCCTCGGGCACACCAATAGGCACTCATAGGCAACGCATATGCCATTCATAGGCACTCTCTGAGTTGGTACTCTCACATGAAGGACATTCCATTATTCAAGAATGATTATATTAACTTTTAGAACCATTTACTAGTTTACATCATTATTGCACTTATTTGCACTTTTTTTGATTTTACATGTGTTTAAGATTGATAACATGCATTTATAGCGCTGCACTATTACTTTAACATAGCATAGTTACATAAATAGAATAGTTACATGATTAAAGAGAATGAAGATATATCATTATATTGGGAAATTAGAACTAGACATTCCCAATTATTTGAGATATAAGTGTGAAAATGTTTGACATTTGAAAATAGAATGTATGACATTCATTAGGAAATGCATTCGTTGTCCGATCATTTTTGGAGAAACAGCAACCAACAAAAAAAAGTAATATAGGTGTGCTTTTTATTTTAAATTATAAGTATTCTCATATGCAAACAGAAAAACGCCAACGGGACAAAGCCCGCGGTTGTGCGCCACCTAGCGAACATATCCAGCATTGCATCTAGAAATGTGCCTGACGTGATTCCGGATTTACTAACAGGAAAGAGTCTACAAAGTAGACTCTTTTCAATGAGTTTGCTAGACGCCTTTCTGAAGACTGACAAGTCTAGATTGAATTGAGTCTTCCTGAATGTTCAGCGTCTGCTGGTAGACTCAATTCTTAGTAAATCAGTGCCTATGTGTCACCTCGCATGCGTTCATATCTGGGAGATTAAGGTGGAGTTCAGTCCAGGTTTTCTGGGCCACTATGGCAGAGGTGGTTCCGGACCAGATTTTGTGGTCCTGTCTGGGACTGCGGGTCTCGCGCGGCGCACAAGTCTACGCATGCGCAGATTGCCTAGGCGCACTAATGTGCAGGCATTGGGACCTGGGCATCAGCGGTGGCAATTGCGGCCGCGCATGCGTATTCGCGCACGCGGGCATGCGCCTGGCACCAATGACGGTGCAGGGCGCACTATTTAAACTTTCCAGGCGGTGATCAGGTTGCCGCAAGGTCTAGTTCCTGTGTTTCTGAAGTACGTTCCTGTTGCCGATCCTGCTTGTCCTGAATTATGTTGACCTTCTCCTGCTCTGACCC